AATGACAGTATATATATATTTGGAAAAATTGGAAGGTATTTTATACATCCACTGCGTTTCTAATTATAAGGAAGCAACAAGCCATGAGGGTGATGGTTCAGCATAAAAATCATCGTCTTTTTCTTGTCTCCAGCTTGAAAATTAAGAACTGAAACATCATAGATGTAAAAATCAGGCAAGTGTGGCAGCCCAGCAAGGATGGCTTCTTCGTCATTTTCTTCTATTATATTCTTTTGCGCTCGATACAGAGAACCCAGAACCCCCAACATAAAATAATATAAAAGCTTATATTATTGATTGATTTAGCTAGAAGCTAAGTACTGAGTTGAATTATGAAGAGAGGAGCCAGAATTTCAAAATATCGTGGAGCGACTTTTGTGAAATGATCCATTTCACAATCATAATAAGAGAGAAGTAGGAGCCAATTAAGTGTCCTATGCTTGTCGGCCAACTTGTTCAGTAATAACGACATCCAAATCGAGATTAGGGATAAGACTTGTTGACTTTTGCGGACCATGAATAGTATCTGATTGGTAAGATAATTGCAATTTACTCGCCAGAGAGAGATTAAAATCGAAATTTGTCTGCTCTATATTATTACCTCCCATCCTTTCACTAAGAGACAAGTTATTATAAACAATGTGACTTATTTTTCAAAACCACATAGAGCGAGTGAGTGAATAACACGGTAAGACTAACGAATAATTAATTAATAGAGAAGAAAAATAAAAATTGATACTCATTGACTCCTAGGTGTAACTTATTTATAACCTATTTTAAGAAAACTAAGAAAAATGTTAAATCTAACTTTTCAACTTTATTCATGTATGTTTAATATACATTTTATCTGAAAATAAAATATAAAGTCTATATAATAATGAATGAAGAGTAATATGTGAAGAATTTACTATTGTGGCTTATAAAGGGGGCGGGGGGGAAAAACAAATTCTCTCTGTGCCTTATAACATTCAGAAAATTATTAAGATAGATCTTCCAAACGAAATTCTCATATAGACATGCACATGTGCATGTATACATACGACCAAAGATATTTGTTAGCCAATGAATGAGTACTTAATTAAGATGATAAAAATTTGTCGGGAGTAAACGTGGAATAATGAAAACGGCCTTTGTTGAGAGAAGAGAGTCGGGTGTTAATAAGGCATAATTGAGTGAACAACCAATCGGAATTTCTATATGTATATATATATATATTGCTTTTAAATTAGCCAGACTGTGCACATCTTTAGGTGCAGATAATAATTTGGTTCAATAATTGAAGGCAAAAGGAGGGAAGATAAGGACAAAACAAAGGAGGAGAGGAAGATATTTTCACTGGGAGGAGCAGGTGGAGAGAGGGTAATGGCAAGGACGAAAAGTTAATTAGAAAATGGGAATTACAGTGACGGCAGCAAAGGGGGCTCACCGGCTCAGCCCTTTTATAAATGAGATGAATTGCAGAGTGTCTCATTGCTCACATTATATTCTTCTTCTCTCTTGTGTTGCTGATCATCATCACTCTGCAGGTTGGCCATCGCCATGGATCCCTACAAGGTACAAGCTAAGCTGGATATGATCATGATGAATAGTAACTTTGGGTCTTAGAATCCTCTTCTGTGCTTAGTTGTTGATCATCACCAACATTTTGCTCTTCTTGTTAACTTGTTTTGCTGGTGCAGTACCGACCATCGAGCGCCTACAATACTCCGTTCTGGACTACCAACTCCGGCACTCCCGTTTATGACAACGATTCTGCCCTCACCATCGGATCTCGAGGTATATTATTATTTACAGTCATCCTGCTAAGTGCGTAGAAGCTAAAGGACATGCATGATATGTATACTTACATTATTATTCTGTAAATTGCTCCTTTTAAGACTTCATTTGAGTGGGATTAGTTCTTTTGATTAAGATTTAAAGAGCTAGCTACCTGGAATTAAAAACGCAGACTTTCTGGGACTCTGATGTTTTAGTGAATGATGGATGGATCTTGACGGAATTTTAATTCGGGCATATGACAAAGTTATGAATTATTAAATGATGAGCATGTGATCTGGGGTGCCGAATCGAAATCTGAGATGATGGATCACATGCGCCATGCGGTGTTGTCCCGTAGGGTGCATGTCTGGGGTCCGCACCTCTTGTCTGGCTGCTGCCGTGGACCATGGGGCGTGTGACGGCCATTGGTTCTTTCTTTCCTATGCATTACATGTGTCCAGCCGCCTCTCCTCTCTCCTTGCCTCTCTCTGCTCACACAAATATTTTATTCATTTATTTATACAGAAATATAATATATATAATTTTATTTTTTTTCTGAAATTTATTATTGGTTAATATTAACTCTTTATTTATTATAAGGAAAGGACTCCAATCTTCAATATAAGAGCCAAATACCTACTTTGCAGGTATTAAAAAAATTAGTTAAATTGCTTATTTTAATAAATACATGTTGTGTAATCATGTGTATTAAAATTATCGTTTTATGAAAAATCTTGAACATGTGCAATTACCACAGAGATTATTTGAAGCAAAATCAATAAAATATTGGAAATAATATAGATTGTGATCTTATATTTAAAACCAAATTAAATCTCCAAATAACTCTTTTATATATGTGTGTGTGTATATGTATATGACCGGAGCTAGTATTTCTATACGTATCCATGTTCAAATTTTTAAATTATTTTTTTTTGGATTTTTTACTGTAAAAATTATGCACTTGCAAGAGATTTTTTTATTTAATTTGAAAATAATATTAATTAGTTTAGTTTAACTTTGACAATCACCAAAAATATATGTAATTTTTAAAAATTATACATTTATTGAAATCTGAGTCCTGCAAATCTAATTTGGTGTTGATTGTAGCAGAGTAGCTTTTGCAATCAGCTAACTATCCTGGTGATTATAACAAATATTAGGAATTCAATGCCGAGAGGCACACATGGGGCTTTTGATTGTACCTTTCAAATTGTCGTCTCCCAAATTAATGTTAGGGAAATATAAAAGATGGAAGCAAAGGTAGTAATGATTTTGGCCCAGAAATGATATTTGAAACCCGTTTAATTGGCAGGTCCAATTCTGCTAGAGGATTATCACTTCGTGGAGAAGATTGCAAATTTTACCAGGGAAAGAATCCCAGAACGTGTTGTTCATGCAAGGGGAGCTAGTGCCAAGGGTTTCTTCGAAGTCACACATGATATCACTCACCTCACTTGTGCAGATTTCCTTCGAGGCCCTGGAGTTCAAACCCCCGTCATCGTCCGTTTCTCCACTGTCATCCATGAACGTGGTAGCCCTGAAACTATTAGAGATCCTCGTGGTTTTGCTGTCAAATTTTACACCAGAGAGGTAATTAAGCTAGCTAGAATATAATCTGTGACTTGTGGTTGTCGCTTTAAAGTGAGTTTAATTAATATATAACTTCATCATCATTATCAGGGTAACTTCGATCTGGTGGGAAACAACTTTCCTGTCTTCTTCATCCGTGATGCAATGAAGTTTCCAGATGTGATCCATGCTTTCAAACCCAACCCCAAGTCTCATATCCAGGAGTACTGGAGGGTCCTTGACTTCTGTTCCCATCTTCCAGAAAGCCTTCACACATTTATGTTCTTGTTTGATGATGTGGGCGTGCCCCAAGATTACAGGCACATGGAAGGTTCTAGTGTTAACACATATACTTTGATCAACAAGGCTGGCAAAGTACATTATGTGAAGTTCCACTGGAAACCTACCTTGGGTGTTAAGTGTCTGCTGGAGGAGGAAGCCATTAGGGTCGGAGGAGCGAACCACAGTCATGCAACCCAAGATCTTTATGATTCTATTGCATCTGGCAACTATCCTGAGTGGAAACTCTTCATCCAAACCATTGATCCTGATTTTGAAGACAGATTTGACTTTGACCCACTTGATGGAACTAAGACTTGGCCAGAGGACCTGGTACCCCTCCAGCCAGTTGGTCGCTTGGTCTTGAACAGGAACATCGACAACTTCTTTGCTGAGAACGAGCAACTTGCATTTAACCCTGCCCTTGTCGTGCCTGGCGTATACTTCTCAGATGATAAGGTGCTCCAAGGTCGTATCTTCGCCTATGCTGACACGCAGCGACACAGAATTGGACCAAACTATCTGCAACTTCCTGTAAATGCTCCCAAGTGTGCTCATCACAACAATCACTACGACGGTGCCATGAATTTCATGCACAGGGATGAGGAGGTAATATGTTTGGACATTGCTTTTATCATGAAATGGCAAATTACTTGTTTGTTTCATATATTTCATTATATAATGACTATAATGTTGGTTTGTAGGTCGACTACTTCCCATCAAGGTATGACCCTGCTCGCCACGCAGAAAAGTTCCCAATTCCTCCTGTTATTTTAAGGGGAAGGCGTGACAAGGTTAGTCTTAGTCACCTGCATTGTGTCAATACGAAGTACTAAATGTAATGTACGAGTCTTTTGTTGACTGCATTGTTCTTGAATGCGTTAACGACTCCTATATGCTTAATGCAGCGCATAATTGAGAAGGAGAACAACTTCAAGCAGCCTGGGGAGCTATACCGATCCTGGGCAGCTGACAGGTACCTGTTACAGACCACTGATACAGTCAATAGATGAAATATATTCATCATCATCATCATCTGACTTCTGATTCTGTCTGCCTTATTTTCAGGCAAGATAGGTTTATCCGCAGATGGGTTGGAGTTTTATCAGACCCACGCGTCACACATGAGGTCCGCAGCGTCTGGATATCTTACTTATCTCAGGTGGGACTTTATTTACATATGGTTATGTATTAATTAAATTGTAGGAATCACTTTTGTTCTTGCTTGCTCATGTCATGGTGCTGGTTTACAGGCCGATCGTTCTCTTGGTCAAAAGGTAGCATCCCATCTGAACATGAGGCCAAATATCTAAGGCGAGCTGGCGAAGAATGTGATATATATATATATATATATATATATATAAGGATGTGGCTGTGAGGCGATTTGAAAGGACTTTTTTTTTCCCTAGTTGCAGTATCATGTATACAATAAACTGTTTGTATCTGTCAACTCTCTGTTTCACATGTCTTGTGCTCCTCCTCTTTTAATTAAGGATGTGGCTGTGAGGTCATTTGTGCGGATCATGATCATCGATCAATATCCCTTCATTGCAGTATCATGCTGTTTGCTAATGCGTACAAATCCACTAGTATGAGAATAAAATCTCCCGGCTATCTATTTTATTTCTTCTCTTCGTTTGATTCTACTGATCTGTCGAGTAGGCTGGTCAGGCGAAGCTCACTCCTACTTTTAATTTCGACACTTCGGCCGACTTCATTGTCCAAATGATCCGTGGGTTCGCATTTTTCAATTTGTTGGTCGCATTGGTTAGGAATTCGATCAAGGCCTATAAATAATGAACAAAGAATGTGCATTAAAAAAGGGCCATAATAATACATACCAAGATCTGTTACAATAATCAAATTGTCATACACATAATTTAAAAAGTAAAACTATGCTTGATATTGAACCAAATGAAGCTGGTGAATCGAAGAGTGCGAAGTACAGTATAAGCTTGTATGGAGAAGCATCACACAGAACGTACTTGCATTACCAGGCACTGGCTAAGATTCAATAGGGGATATTAGGAACCCATTAATTGATCGAGCACGTGAAAATAGGATGTGAGTTTGAGAAGTGGCTCTTCCTTCCCTCTCGTCTCCAACCCTGTCTCGGTGACTGGACAGAATTGTTGGCAAAATGGATCTTGCAAACAAGGGACCTATCAAACCAATTGTACTGCAAAAGTATTTCGAAAATAGCCACCGATCAGCTATGGTTGCTTACACCAGTCAACAAGAAAGGTGAGCCAGTATCATGTTTTAAGAAAGATAAGCTGCATATTTGTAAAAGAAAGAAAGAAACAAAGTTATTTTCTTTGGTCTTTCACGTCAACCTGATAAATTTTTTTTTTTTTTGGTACAATCAACCTGATAATTTTAAACTGCCGCAACTTAGCTATTGTTTTCGTAATTTTGTTGAGCCCAATCATTGTAAGATATTTTCTTTTCGTTTACAACGATGGGCTAAGCCCATAGACGTAAATATTTTCACTGAACTGCTGAAGGAAAGAGTCAATTGGAGTCGTAGACGCTTGGAGTGGCCGAACTGCTGAAGCAATTTTGATTCTTTGAACCATTGTGTTCTTTCCAAGGGAGCAAGCGCGCGTGGGCAAATCCCAGAAAATGATTATCTATAATTTATATAAACAAGGAAGAATTACAACCAAGAAAATAATTACTAAAAAATTTCAATAATAACATAAGCAGCCTGCAATTTACAAGTTTTAGGGGAAAAAATGACAACTTTTAAAATTTATTTTGTAATTTTTTTTTCTTTTCTTAAGATCTTACTATAATTCTCCCTATAAACAATTGAGAAAGATGGGGCGAAAAGAAACGCGACTAAAAAGGGGAAATTATTACATACGCTCTTGAAGTATTAAATCACAAATATACAAAAAAAAAAATCGTTTGCACCGTCTCTTAAATAATCAGAGAGAACATACGTGGATTATAAAGATCTACCAAAAAAAAACCTCTTACTCATTTGTTTCATTTAAATTATTTTTATTGGCAAAAATAGAAATAAAATCAAATGGAACTCTAAAAATACCTTCTTCTTTTTTTGCCAACGGAACTCTAAAATTGCCTAAATATTTTAATTGCCTCTGACCTCTAAGCTGTGAGCTTCCCCCACTAGATCCTAGTTGTCCTCCAAAAGTAAGGAGACATTTCTATTACTACCTTTGATCCTTAATATATATAATAGTCAGTTGGCTAATTTAAATAGATTAAGAAAATTAGTTAAGTTAGTTATTTATAATAAATATACGTTATTTTTCCTAAAATAACTTTATTAATTATGTGTATTAGTTAAGACTACCATTTGATAAAACTTTTGATGTGTGCAATTATTACGAGGACTATCTTGAAAGAAATAAATAAATATAAGAGACAAAGTGAATTGAAATATTATATTTAAAACCAAATTAAAATTCAAACTAATTTTTATATCAAGGATGGAGCATATTTCAGTGAGTTTGATATCAATTGATTTGCTGTTGAGGTCCATTTTGACGGCGGCTGAAGAGGGAATTCTCGACATAGCAGGATTATTATGATAGCACATTGGTTTAATTAATTAGTTCATTCTTTGAAAGCTGTTCATCATCTCATCTTCAAAGTAGAGGCACCAATAACATAAGACCAAACCCCTTCGTAGTGGTCAACTATGTTAACATTTATATTCAAAACTCCACTTATGTACTCCTTCCTTAGAAGAAAGTTTTAATCCAAAATATAAGAGGTTGACAGAATCATTAATAATAATTTTTTGCTTTTACCTCTTATTATAGGGAGGAGAAAGAGTTTCAAATGCAGAAAAAAAAATTTCCAATCACATTTTTTAATAAGGGTAGAATAGGTAATTTTTCTTATTTTAAAGCACATTTAATAACTTAACCAACATCCGTTAGTTTGTTAGTATATGTGTGTATAGTTGAGTCATGACGTTTCCCACCAGACACACTAGTCATGTTAGTGCAATGAACAACTAAGAGATGATGTGGTTGGCCCTCTGAAGTCATATTTGATGGCTCGAGATGATAACCAACAATGTGGACGATGATGCTATGTAACACTTCGTTATTATTAACTAGTAATGATCATTACACACACACACACACACACACACACACACACACATTTTCCCTACTAACTAATGGTCTAAAGCTTATCATCATCTTATTATTTTATTCTTTCTCTTGGGCCCTGGACAATGATGTAGCGCGCCTAATAATCCCTTTCAAATCGTTCTAGAATCAGGCTAATAGTTGGCAAAAAATAAAAAATAAAAAAATAAGAATCAGGCTAATAATTTAAACCAGGGGCTAATTAAGCGCTTTACCACTGGTTTATTGTTTCTTAGTGTAGCAAAAATCTTGTGAAATGTACAGAAATTATAACAGTTTTGCTGCTGCTCTTGCAAATTGACAAAAGTTGACTCAAATATTTTTCTTTCTCATGTTTTTGTCTTGGTAATTTGAACGTGTACTATGAGATGAAAACTAAAAATCAGAGTTTATTTAATATATATATACTCTTCCGGTCCTTAATATAAGACCTATTTAACTAATTTGATTGGATTAAGGAAGTTATGTAAGTTAGTTAATTATAAGAAATGCTACACGTTTTTCCTAAAATACCATAATCATTTTTCTTAATACCCCATCTTCCTCTCTTACTTGATTATAGTTGAGGGAGTATTCATAGGGGTAATTTAGAAAAAATTGATAAATATAAGAAATGAGTCTTATATTTAAGACCAAAGCCAACTCAACAATTGGGTCCTATATTAAGAATTGAAGGAGTATATATACCGGACTTTACGTTATATTACCCTCGTCTGTTGCATTGCGAAATGCACATTTTAAGAAGCCAATAACTCCGTAGGTGGTGAACTAATAATAGAAAATGGTACGAAGCGAATTAAGAAAGTCATCTCGATCCAGAGCCTTATTGATATAAAATATGAGTACATTTTTGCCTGAATGAATGACCCGTCATTCAAACGGAAAAATAAGCAGACTACTAACTCAAATAGAGACTTAAGAATTATAGATCTCTCCAACTTTCAAGCTTATATGGAGGAATCACTTCACTGACTTCTAAGCTGGTGTTTGATAGAATGGGTACAGTTCATAGCGAACATTACAGCTAGGGTATAGAACCCTTCCTCCTTGCTTGCCATCGCAACACCAGTTAAGGTCCCCAATCACGCCGCTCAGGCACCTTCTGCAATCTTCCGGCGAAAGGTCCGGCGTGCACTGGGCTAGACAATACAGAGTTTGAAACCCCGAAATGAACGCTTCTTTCGTCGCATACTTCTTTTCGCCCAAGGCAGGTTTCGCTGCCAAATCTGCTGTCTCGTTCATAGTAGTGAACAATAATCTCATGAAGCTTGCAGGGTTGGCGATATTTCCAGTGTTCAAGAGGCCGAGTCTTGGCCTTGTGTCGACGGTGGAGAAGAAGGAGGTGTTGGAATAGCGAAGCATGCATTCGTCGTACCAGATTACGGCCTCCTTCGAGAACTGGCAATCGGAAGTCAATCTTTTGGTTGCCTCGACCACGCATTGGTGGCACACCTCGAGGGTGACGTCGCCCCGGCACATGAAGAGGCCATATGCAGTTTCGCCGCCGCCAGCAACGGTGGTGTTGTAGAAGTCAGTGTTGGCGGTGTTGTCGGAAGCTAAGGAAGAGAGGAGGGTGGTGAGGTCGGATTGGAAGGCACTATTGGCAGGGAACGTTTTGTCGGAAGAGCACGCATGGGAAAGAAAAGTAGGTTGTGATTCATCATCAGAGGTTGCAGAAGAGAGGAAGGTGATAAAGAACAAGAGTGGGATAATCTTGTAGGAAGCCATTATCACCATTGAAGCCATTAGGTCTTGATCAGTTTAATGGGGACTATAAAGGCAAACTAAGGGCTTTATAATAGTTTGAGTGGGTTTTGATATTGCAGTTGTGCATTTTAGTGGCACGTGTGCTAAATAAGGACCGGAGGTAGTATTGATGATTGCGGAAAGCTCGACGGCCGACGGTGGCCGACGAAAATGGGCAGAGAGAAAGTCAACCTTTGCTGCTTCTGGAAGAAGCCGTTTTATTATTTAGCTATTATCCTAGTCAAATGGTTTTGGTTTGCATAACTTATTTGGGAAACATAATCCTCAAGGGAACTAATCTTTAATCATTGCTCCATATAAAATTAAGATGAGGTGCAGACTGAGAAGCATATGCGGAGGGTGAAATTGTGCAAAGTTTTTTTAATATTTTTTATTTCAATATAATCAAGAGTGTGAAGGAAAAACAACGGTCTTCTAACCGCTACTGGGTCTTTAAAAATAAAGTTTTATTTATAAGAACCAAAAATTAAAAAAAAAATATTTGGTTCATTCAAAGTTCAGACATTTTGAATTTATTTGAAAATTTCAAAGATGACCTAGCACATATATAATTTTAGCACCGAATTCCTACGTGACTAACAAAGGGCTGGCAAGGTTGCCCCAAAAGTCAACGCACGATGGGGTCGTAAGAGCTAGCTCTCATGTTATTAGTATAAAAACTAGTTAATTAATTTAAATAAATTAAAAAATAGTTAAATTAGTTATTTATGATAAATAAGTATTGTCTTTTTTAAAATACTATTGTTAATTAAATATTAGGTAAAACTATTATTTGATGAAACCCTTAATAAATGCAATTATTACAAGGACCATCCTAAAAAAATAGATAAATATCAGAGACAAAGTGAATTGGGATCTTATACTTAAGACAAAATTAAAAGTCAAACTAACTTTTATATTAAAGATTTGAGATAGTAAGTCGGTCCTATTCATACTTTGAACAAAATAATCATATTTTGCCGCTTGACAGGTTTTGCATCCCCTGCGTGACGCTAATTATTAGTCGATTGTTTTGACCACTAGATGCAGATATGAAACCACAGGGATTATTTTTTTTATTTTATTATTTATCCTATTCGTCCCCCTATTTTAAATATTATAATGGTTTGAATGTAGGCATTACTGGTTGGCCAAGAAAACCTAGGCTCTACTGTTGATGAAAAATAAATTCAATAAAGAAAACCTAGATATTACTCAAACCTCATCCAACTCCCTGAAGGATTAAAATTGTTATTATAAATTCGAAACATTTTTATAACATAGCAATTGAAATATTATCCAAATCCTCTTGCTATAATTGGCTTCTTTCTCATAAGCACCCAATATATTTTCCCAGTTTACACATGTACGAAAACGGCAAAAGTTCCCACAACAAGCTGTTTGAAAATTCATGTGAAACAGTAGCACTAAAAATTGTTTTAGATTTGGCATAAAGAACTCCTTGGACTCTTGTTCCTGAACTGTAATTTTCCCAATTCACGATCAATGATTGTATTTCCTTAGCATTACCAGATAAACCAGTTTAAAAGAGGAATTCACGATCATGCAGGGGATCAAGATTCCATATATACTGTAGTAAAAGGTTATTAAAAAGACATGAGAAAGTATGATCAAAATGACATGGTCGTGTATAGATTGCGCCGTTTTGACTTTGTGCATCCGAACGAGACAAGTCGAAAATTAAATTTTCCAGAGTCAAAGGAGTATATAGTACGATCTTTCTAATCAAAACAAATTAAGAATTTAGTTATCAGTCATAAATTTGTCAACTTTCTACGCTATTCTTCCTTAATTTCCGCATAACATTTAACGAGATTTCTCAGCCAATGACCTGTTCAAATCTCAAAAGGGAGAGTTGACCAAAAAGCATTAGTTGATAATAATTAACTTCCGTTTACCATAAAAATTGACTACTGTTAATTAAGAATATTTTGATAAAATTTAATGTATGGTAAACAAAATGGGAGATTCTTATAGATAGAACTAAAAGTGCCGAAAAGAATCCTACACACGCACACCCTTCCAGTTCTATATATAAGAGAATTTTGTTGGAGATGGTTTGTTCCTGCTTCCCATTTATAAAAGATATTCATAGTTTGTGTAAAATTTTTCATAACATTTGTCATTTTTTCTTAATTATTGGTTAATCTTGTCATATTAATTATCAACCCATTCACTTACTCTCCACAAATATGTCATCTTAAAATAAATTGTATTCTTCTTACATATTTTTTAACTAATTTTAATCAACTTTATCTATATAACTTGATTATTTATATCTTATAAAAAGAAGACATGTAGTAATTAGAAGTACTAGTGGAGGGAGCACTACATAGGTAGAAGGGTTGATGATGTCTTGAGATCGAGATTTTGAAGAAGCATTAAAAGTGCACTCTTCATTTTATTATCTAACATTTCATACGCATTTTTTCCCACCTATTACATCTCATAACAAAAACAAAAAAGAAAAGAAAATGCACATAATGCATGTAGAAGTGCGTCAGGTCCATTTGCGAGGCTCTCGATGGTCTCTGCAGTGGCCCTTGATGTAGTTTATGCTAGAAGATATCACAAGCAACCTTTGATTAACACTAAAAGCTAGGCTGTTACTTTATTCTTGATTGAGCTGATGATCGGAAACAAGTCTTGAATTTCTCCGACAACATTGTCCCAATAGTTTCATTCTGAATCGTACGTGCCACTCATCTATAAACGAACTCTGCAAATTCAGGAAAGGGGAAAACTTAGCAGCCTAGAACCAGATCTTAAGCGAAGTAAATATACTGATAATAATAACAACAACAACTTAAATGGACTGAGACCAAGAAATACGTCTTATTTGCCGTTTACCTCAGGGAAGGGAGTGAGTGACCGGAGGCGGGGAATTGAAAAATGGGTAGAATTCATATCTGATGTTGCAGGCAGGGAGCAACACCGTGGCTCCTCGTTTTCCGTCGCAGCAGTTCGGAACAGCAGCGATGGCGCTTCTCAAACAAGTATTACAGTCGAACACAGTCAGGTCGGGGGTGCACTGTTCTAATCCATACAGAGTCTCTGTTGTTGTGAAGTTCACTTGATCCGTCGCGAACTTGGTCTGAGATTTCAAAACTTTCGCCGCCACAGAATTCAGCAACCCGGACAGCAATTCATTGAACCTATCCTTGTCCTCCGGCGCTATTTCCTTCGTATTAGACAGGTCAGTGGAAGGTACGATTTTGTTGAAAGACTGGTTGGAGTATCGAAGCATGCAGACGTCGTACCAGATTATGGCTTCTTTCTGGTCTGGGCAACGGCGTTTTATCTCTTCGGCTGCGGCGGAGACGCATTCTTGGCAAGCGGCTGCAAGGATATCGCCGCGGCAGAGGAAGAGGCCGTTGACGGCATCGGGGGCGGCATTTCCTGTTCTTGTTCGGTAGAAATGGCTGCCGTCGCTGGCTTTAGAAGGAAGAGAAGAGAGGAGGAGGTTGAGGTTGGTTTCAAAGGTGGTTTTTGGTTTATAAGTAATGGAATCTGTGCAAGCATGAGCACTGTAAATTGGATCGGCTTCCGTTAGAAAGATTAGGAAGCTAAAGGAGAGGAATAAAACAACGTACTTTGAGTTGGAACTAGGCATCTTGATGATGTTCGGTTCTAGTTGTTCACTTCTGCAGCTTAGCAATTATGTTTCGATAAATTTTATTGAACCAAACACACAAAATTTCACTTAAAAAAAAGGAAACAAAGAACCAATTGGAGCTTCCTGGTCCCACCAAAATGACGAAAAATCTCGGTGCATATAGAAAATAATAATTGGTTTGCAGTTGAAGTCCATTTTGATGGCTGAAAAGTTAATGTTGTCGTGGTTGAATTATACTCCTCCGTTCTTAAATATAAGACCTATTTTGTAGTATAATAAATTACACTATAAAATGAGTATTATATTTAAAACTGAAGGAGTAACCTGTTATCATTATTATTTAATTCTTTGAAAGTTCTTCATCATCTTCAAAGATGGGGCACTAGTGTCTGATAAAATCCCATTCCGCTTTTTTCCCCCTTCATTATGGATCACAATGTATAACTAATTTCAAATCCTTCTAGAATCTGCTGATAAATTACTACCTCCGGTCCTAATTATAAAAGCCAGTTGACTAATTTGAGAAGATTAAGGAAGTAAGTTGAGTTAGTTATTTGTCCTAAATAAGTGTTGTTTTTTCTAAAATATCATTGTTAATCAAGTATATTGACTAGAACTATCATTGTTAGAAGGGCTACTTTGGAAAAAATGTATAAATATGAGAGATAGAATGGATTGGGGTCTTATATTTAGGACCAAAATAAAAGTCAAACAGGGTCTTATATTAAGGACCAGAGGTAGTATTTCTATACATCCATATTAATGTGTAAGTCATCACGCTTCCCACTGGGCATGGTGTTGAGTTTCAAATTCTTCTGGAGATTAATTGCAGGATATGATACTAGCTACCCCGGCCGTTTTATTAATATATATTCATCTAGTTCTATTTATAAGACATTTTTAGTATGTTTCATACAAATTAAAAAAAATTTAAATTGTATCAACTGTCTATTAAAATATAATTATTTTTAAACTTTACTCTTATTTAATATGCATACATTTTTTAAAAAAAATAAGTATCTACATTATAATAAATGAAAGACAAAACAATACATTCATATTAAAACTTTAAATGATATGACTTATAAATATGATCAAAAGATTTCTTTTCTCCACCATATAAATAAGATCAAAGTAGTACATTCACTGCTGATGGTGGAAAGTTTGACATCATGTGATCATTTTATTTTTATTTTTTCCTTGGGTGAGATAATGATATATACTGTGTGCGAGCTGTGTCAAATCCTTTCAAGATCAGGCTTATAAACTAGTGGCTAGTTAATTAAGTGCTTCGGGGTATTGGTTGCTTATTATTATTCATGTTAAGTTGCCGGAAACCTTGTGAGTGCATAGGAATGATATGCTGCTGCTGCTGCGGTAAAATGGACAAACAGTTGACCCAAATTTTCCTTCAGATGATTTTGCGTGCAAGGGTTGACGAGTGTGAAATGAAATGTAGACGCCAGAGTTGAAAATATGGGAAGGCATGTTACTAGTTTCCACGTTTGCTGCATTGTAAAATTGACATTTCGTGAGGCCAATTAATTATTGGCAGACGGAGCACAAAAAAGTGCGGACAGAAAGTCGTTTAGAATGAAAAAAGTCTCCTTCAGAATGGGCCTCAACTTGCGCTGAAAAGTAATTAAGCAAATACGAACTTTTCCAGGGGTTTAATACCATGTTTGTATGTTTGGGTGGAGCGAAAATAAGAGAGGAAGGAAAACTAGGAAAGAAAATAGGAGGAAAAGTAATTTTTTCTCTGTTTGGATGAGAGAAGAAAAGTGGGAGGAAAAAAATTAAAGAGAAAATAAAATGGGTCCCACAGTCTATTTTTCTCCCAACTTTTCTCTCTCTATATAAAGAGAAAATGAGAATAAGACATATTTTTCTTTTCTACCCTTACATATATATTTTTTAGCAAAATAATACCTATTTTTTTCACTTTATTTATTATTATCAAGTCTTTCTTCTATGTTTGCTTGATTGAAAAATAAAATAACTAAAATTTAAAAAATTATTCTAAAATGAACTGAAAGAAAAAACAAATAGAGTTGTTGTTTTGGGTTTTTTTAACATTACATTACACAAAATGTTTTTTTTCTTTTTTTTACAAAATGATTTGATATTAAAATATAATAACATGACAATATATCTTTATCAAATAATTTGATTTTAAATTATATAATTATGTTAATGTAAATATGGTTTTTCATTATTATATTTAATTTGATTTTAATGAAGACATATTTTGATATAATAGAAAGGATATTTTATTCATTCATATATTTACTCATGTTTTTTTTCTTTATGTTTCCTCTTATCCATCCAAATATGAGAGGTGATAATATTTTCTCTCTTCATTTTCTCTCTTCTCTTTTTTTTTTTCCCTTTCAACTTTTCTTCCCATCCAAATAGAGGGTAAGCGTCGGTCATAAGCATGATCGGAATTCACCATCTTTCTCACCTATCTCCGCGGTAGGGAGGACTGAATAATATTTTTACCATTTGACTAATTCATGGATGTTAATTAAGGAAGTTATATTTATATTTATTGTTTCCTTTTAAATTAATTTGTCTTACTTATAAATTGATATATAATCTAATAATACGTATAAATATTTTTAAAGAAATTATATAACATATATCATAATTAAGTAATTCAGTCATTTCATTAATCTTTTCAAAGTAGTCAATTAAGTATTGTATTAAAAATCAAAAGTAGTATAAAATCTAGTTAGAAAATAGATTTGGTTTTAAATATAAAATTTTAATTTATTTTATTTCTCAGATTTATAATTCTTTCTCAAGATATTTCTATTGGTTGTAAAAGGTTCTCATGAAAAGATAGTTTCAATACACAAATTAAAGAGGATAGTTTATGATAAATTACTATTACAAATAACTAAATTAACTAATTTTTTAAATTTTTTCAACCGAATTCATTTTTTATTAATTGTTTCAGTAGGAGCATAACACTGGGAAAAAAAATTGAGGATGTTGGTTCAAGAAGAGCGATGCTAATTGATGCCGCCAGCAAAGTCGCGGTTATAAATCTTTTTGTTTTTTTTTTAATGATTTGGGATTCAAGTTGTGTTTTGATCCAGCACGTCGGATTATACTACTTCTGATATTTAATATAAAAACTAATTAATTAATTTAAGTAAATTAAAAAAATTAGTTAAGTTAGTTGTTAAAAAATTAGTTAAGTTAGTTGTTTATAATAAATACTCCTCTAGTCTTTAATGTAAACCCCATTTAACTAATTTGATTAAATTAAGGACATTTTTCTTAAAACACCGTAATCATTTTTCTTAATACCCCATCTCCCTTTTCTACTTGATTATGGTTGAGGGAGAATATATAGGGGTAATTTAGAGAAAATTGATAAATATGAAAAATAGGTCTTATATTTAAGACCAAAACCAACTCAAGAATTGGGTCTTATATTAAGGACTGGAGGAGTATGTGTTATGTTCTTTAAAATATTCTTACTAATCAAGTGTATTAATTAGAACTATTATTATTATAAGTACTACCTAAAAAAAAATTAAAGTCTTATATTTAATATCAAAATAAAAATTAAATAAGTTCTTCAAAAATATTACCTTCAGTCCTAATTATAAGAGATAGTTGACTAATTTGAGGATATTAAGAAAAGAAGTTAAGTTAGTTATTTATAATAAATAGGTATTGTTTTTCTAAAATATCTTTACTAATCAAGTGTATTAGCTAGAATTATTATTATTAGAAGGACTACTTTGAGAAAAAATTAAACTCTTATATTTAGAAACAAAATAAAAATCAAATAAAGTCTTATATTAAAGAGTACGAGTAGTAGTATTATTTTCGCGTGTTGTTAGAACTCGCGGTAATAATCCTTTTTATTTTCTCATTTCTTTTAATTTTTAATTTATGAAAAATAATATATAAGTTCTCCATATTAAAAAATATATATGGATTTGGTTAAAAAAATTTACATTAGTATTTCTAATTTATATACATTTTTATTCCTTAAATGTATTTACTTAATTCTTTTATTATTTTCAATTTTTTTCAATAATATATTAACTATTTTTTCTAATGTTTTAAAAGTCGGATAAGATATCGAGCGGAAAGATCAGCAGGTCATAATTCAAATGGTCAGATCGGTTAAATCGTCTGGTTGAACCAGTGATGCAATAATTAAATAAAATATTAATATTATAGACATATATAATAATGTATATGTAAAAAATAAAATATTAAATTGTTAGTTAATTTGAAAAAACAATTAAATAATTAAATTTCATGATTTTGGAAGAAATTCAACCCATTATAATCATAATTAAAATAATGCATTATCTATGCTAATATACTTTTATCTTTATATCAATTATACATGTAAATCATAATTATAAAAATTAAAAAATATAATGTAGGTACAGTGAAAAATAACATAGCTTATAAATTCTTTCCTAAGCGGGTAGTGAAGCTATATAATTAATATTGATAATTAAGATTAGTAAGTGATGGGATGTGTTGATGGATGTATCAATTCTTCAATCCTTCTAACGTCCAGAAAGATTCGAAAATCTCCATTATTTTTTAATTGAAAAACTAAAACTTAAGAAATTCAAAACTCAAAAGTGCACAGTGCGTAGGATGTCAGATGCAAAATGAAAAGCAAGTATCAATTCAAACCGAGCCTTTTATTCTCTCTATTTCATATGTGGATATGGCTTCTCTTCGTCTTCTTGGCTCCCTTTCATTGCCCCTTCAGCTCCCTCTGGGTTTTGAGTTCTAAGATTTCTTAAGCATTCTGCTGCTTTCTTCATTCGTCTTATGGTAGCCAACAAAAAACAATAGTATTTTTTATGATGAGTTTCAATCTCCATCTTTTCTCTTTTTTTCCGATGTTAATCCCTCTCCTTCCCCAGTTTTCCCTTCACCTTCTTTTTTTTTTTTTCCGGGCCGCCCGGTTACTTGTAAACCGCTTCGGTTCCCGGTTCAAATCCGGCTTCCGGCCTAAAAGCCGTTCTAGGCGGT